GATAGCTGGGACCAGAATTGGGTAATGGCCTTCCTTTATAAATCTAGCTACATCATTGTTTATTTTAAGCAACTTTACAGAAAACGATTTTATTATGGATCATTCCCCCAAGCTTAGACCCTAAATTCCTCATTCCAAGAGATTAAAGTTCCCATTAATTCTGTTAATACATGGATGGCAAAGAATATTTGTTTCCTTGGTGAACAGATGAACAGTAGGAAAGCTTCAAAGGGAATGCTAATACCAAACTACCAATATTTGACAAATATGGTGATGCAGACAAGTGCTATACCCAGATTTCTCAAGTATATTAAGAAGAAATACTTCAAATTACTCCGCATACAAAATAACTTCTAGGATATTAAGAAGAAATACTTCAAATTACTCCGCATACAAAATAATTGTTAATTATTACTATTATCTGGTCATCTCTGGTCCCCCTGTACAATGGCCTAAACAAGGTAAAGAATGGGGAGATCTGCAGGCTGTAGCAAGGGTGTTGTGTTATGAGCTGATTGTTGTAGGTGGAAATACTGTCATTTGGAAAAAAACCTTCAGATGATTCATGTATCTCTGGTCAGAATGAGTTTGGACTGGAATTGTGCACTGACTCTGATGACCCAAATTATGCATGGTAAGCTTCATAAGTATCCACGGTTAGTTTCTCAATTTGGTTTCAATACACCCTCAGTTGCAGGAGTAGGATCTTAACATATTAAGGTGTCACTGTGCCTTCAGAGATTTGTTTCTGTTTAGCATGCTTGCATATTATGCATGTATTATTTTTTTTATCAATATATTATGCACATATCATATTATGTACAAACTCCACGATCGACATGTTTTGGAGTAAACATTTAGAACTTCACACGGTTAATAATTTCTAAATAGATAATTTCTATGCAAATAATTTGCCATTTTCAGAGAACGAATATGGAATTTGTATATAAAATGTTTTCTTTACCTTTATAAGTCATTTCTATGCAAATAATTTTAAAGAAAATATTTATTTTTTGTCTTTTCTATGTATATAATCATAGAAAGAAATGAGAAAATAGAGGGAAAAATAGAAGAGAGAAAGTATAAAGCTGAAGAAAACAGGTCTGAAATTCAATTTAGACTCCCTGTTTTGAGTCGAGGTTGTTTAATGAACCCATTGTTTTTGTTTTATCTCCTCGAGCCAATACATGTCTAAAGAACGACCCTTGTTTTCATTTTAGATTTACGTCGACAAGCAAGGCCATGAGTGAGAATCACTCTTCTCTAACATCATCCCTCAAGTGAATCTGCGAGAACACTGGTACATTTTCGATTCATCAAGTGAAAATCACTTATATAGTTAGAATTAAAGCTAAATATAATAAATCCAATTTAATTAAAGGTTATTATGATTTGACTAAATTGTTATTTTAAGGGATGGGTGTCAAAAGAAAAATTTCTAAGTGCTCATTGAATGTGCTTATAACTTCGATTCATCAAGTTCTAAAGGTTAATTATGATTTGACCAACCTTTAGAATTGTTTCCTATGTCCATTAAATTTTTTGTAACCTCAATTTTACCCATTTATACTCATTCATCTTAAACATTATGTTATTTTAAGGGATGGGTGTCAAAAGAAAAATTTCTAAGTGCTCATTGAAGCGATTATAATCAGTTTACTCCCCACTTCTGCAACAAATTAAAAATTGTTGACGAGGTAGCATTAAAGGCTGTCTCTTTAGTAGAGTAGAGTTTGGGAATCATTTTGCAAGGACTACCATCTAGCCTCTCCCAAGAAGCATTACTACTTGTCGCCGTTACTCATCACCAGGAAAATCTCTCGCCGTCGCCAGCAATAGATCAAACAATAAACAACAACGAGAAAGGACATTTTTCCATTCTTCCCATTTTGAGATGAACAACAGAGTGGTTCCATTCATGGTATTTATTGAGTTTATTGGATTTTTTAGCACAATATCGTGACTTTAATTAATTAATATTCTTTGTGTATTTCCATGGTGTTGTGTGGAACTGAAACCTGGAGTTTCTTTCTTCAGAGTTCAGACACCATTTCAGGCCTCTTTTCTCACAAGAAATTTAGCGCAGTGATGAAAATGTTTAAGGATTTACAAGATGGAAGCAAGGAGAACTTCAACTCTCTAGCCTTCTAAAAGTTGCCGCAAAAAGTAAGAAAGAAGCAATACGTTCGGTTATTTGGTGTATATTTTGACAAATTTAATAAATGGTAACATTAACGGTTAAATGCCAATCAGGTACATTTAAGTAGTTTTAGAGGTGTAAATCAGATCGTGCCAAGCCTGGCACAATGGTCTGGGTCACGCTGGGCTTGGGGTTCAAAGTCCATGGACTGGCATCACACAGACCACAGGCCCATAGCAGGCCACGCTCAGCCTGCCCAAGAACTATCTGTTGGGACCCCCCCCCCAATGGCTAGTTTCAGCTTTTTGGGAGGCTTTTTACAGAAATATCCCCCCCCCAACAGCTATAAACAACTATATAGAGGGTATTTATGTATTTTGGTTATGGGGAGAGAGAAAATGACACAAATGCCCCCCAATAACTATATAATAGCTAGTTTATAGGGGTATTTTGGGTAAAGTGATAATAATTTTACAATGACCAAAATACCCCTCCCAACAATTAAAAAATTGCTAGTTTTTAGGGTATTTTGGCAATTAAATTATTTTCAATTCCAATAAATAATCCTATCCTCCACCATTCTCATCACACCAATTCAACAATTCTCTTAATCTCTTATCTAGTTATCATACTCTCTCAAGTTTCAATCTCCCAATCTCTAATACATTTTCTGAATTCTGATTGAATGATTCTCTAATTCTCAACTTTATTGAAGTTTCAATAAGAAGAAGGCTTGCTCAACCAGCTCAAGTATCTCAAGTTAGCAATTTGGGAGGCTTGGACTCTTGGAGTTGAAAGGCTTCAACCATTAAAATCAAGTTGGGATTCCGAACCAGCAAACCGGGTAAGTCCAATTAAATTAAATTTTATTTTTTAGAATTTAAAAAAATGGTTAGCTCCTCCTAAAACCAATTCCCCAACATGTTTAATGCTGACAATATTCAATCGCAGCATGATAGTGTTAGCACTAGTATGAATACTATTGATATTGATGGAACTTTCACCCCTAGTACTAATAATAGGGGAAAGAAAAAGAGGGCATCTAAGTTGATTAGCCCGATTTAGAAAATATTTAAAGTATAGGAGGTTAAGGGGAAAGGAAAAAGAGTTGTTTGTCAAAAATGTAGGCAAGACTTTAGGTATTGTAGCAAGGGTGGTATTGGCCATTTGGGCAGACATTTGCTTACACATGAGAAGGAAGAAGAACAAGAACAAGAAGGGAGAGAAACAACACAAACACAAATTGGGCGGGGGGTTTTGGTATATTTAAATATTCTCAAGAAAAAGTGAGGCAAGAATTAGTAAAATACATTATTCATGCTGAACAACCATTTTTGTTAGCTGAAGATACTAAACTTGAAAAATGGTTATGTAATTATGTAAATACACAATTTAAAAAAGTTTCTAGGAATACTATTAGATCAGATGCTTTAAAAATTTTTTTATTCATATAAACAAAATTTAATTTATATGTTATCAAATCTTAATTATAAAGTTGCAATCACTTTTGACGTTTGGACTTCTAAATTTAACATAAAGTTATATTTGCGTTAT